ATGGAGGGTACTACGATAGATAAATGGGAGTAAGCACCCCGTGTGTAGGGCTATGACCGACATAGGGTCTTCGATCCCAAAGGGCAATAAATCTGGAACAAAAAGTATGGAGGGTTCACTTGGGGTGCAATCGTTCAATGACATCAGTACTGCCAAGCTCACGTAGCTGATTCTATGATCGAATGCTTATCTCGAGCAGTTCTTCAAGTTTGTTGACTAAGTCTCGATGTCAGTTCAATCAGACGTTCTACTTAGAAACACCGGAGAACCCGGTGAATAGTTTGTTTACACACCTGTGTTCGGGGCGAGGTATACGTGCATGTGCAATCATTCTTGGGCACAAACCTACACATCAGGCGAAGGTAATAGGCCCATTAGCAACATTTGCAGAGTCTACACAGGCCACAGCAAACGCAACTATGAGTCTATATGATGAGAGTCTCGAGTCTCGACCTTTTCCAGAAATTCCAGTTGCTTGCTTATGATGATCGTAGCGGCAGCGAGCGCCAGTCCCCGATTCCATTGTTCGGCAAATTCCTCCATTTGATTCCTTCCTCCGAAGCACGCAAGCTTGTACGTGTTGCCTCCATCGGTATCGCCACTGACGCAGCAAGTCCCCGACTCCCTTTGGCTACGCCATAGTATATTTTTCCCTCGCACTTTTACGTACAAGACCCATTCACACAAGAGGCCCACGCCCTTTAGAAACCATCCGAACTTTGTTCACGATGTACAACAATATTCCATAGGGTGAGCAGCGGACAGAGATTCAACCATATTGCCACAATCCTGGACGATTTTGGATTTCGATTGTGCAGCGTGCCACAGAAGGCCCCCGGATTTGATACCGGATGTCCATAAGCACCTATCCAGGGTAGATAGATAAGGCGTTTGGGGGATCACCCTTAATCAAGCTCGCGCACCTTCGTCAACCCTCCATCTCGAATCAGATCTCACTAATGTGTACTAATGGCGTGATCGCTCATCTATCAGCGTATCCAGTCAAAAGGGATCTTGCTGACCAGGTACTGGTGGAATATTGTCGTTGAGATCCGAACGTCCAGCGCATGCTACTGAATGGCGATTGTGAACGTACTGCACACCAGACGGGCACACAATCCATGTTCTTTGATGAAGTTGGTTCAGCAGCCATCATGATCACCAGCCAGGTGCAAGTTGAGGGAGTCCATCGCTGGAATGATGCTTAGACTCAAGATGACCCACTTCCAACGACAGACTTTTATTCAACTGTTGTGTATCACTGTACCAATGTCACGATTAAGTTCTTCTATGTATAACCAGGAGACAATCGACATACCACATACCACAAACGAAATCAAAGGCATCTTGTAGACCTTATTGATTCATTCCAGATGTCAGCGTCATACTGAAGTCGCAATGGGTCTATATGCAATCACAGTTAAATCAACATAACGATAAGATATCCTTGGGGATAGAGCGAAGGTCGGAATTTACGGACTGGGAGGTGAAAATGAAGCAGCTGCAATACAGCGAACTGTCCACTTTCGCAATAAAGTGAAATAACTTTGTTCTAAGGTGGTATTTGCGAAGTAGTGACACTCACAATGAAGTACTTATTAAACAACAAATCCGTCCTAGGGGCTAAGTCTATTGGCGTGCTGCACTGCCTGCATATAATGTTGACGGCATCGAGTTCAAACATAGTACAGAAGCAACTTTCGGAGTGGAGAGGGAGTGCGGGACCATCAACCTGAATGTGGTCCTTACGTATAGAAAGATGGACATAGCACTGGTCGCAGACCTGAGCGCTTGATCTACACAGCAATAAGGTGTGAAGCGAACGCGAGGACGATGCGTGAGACGCACCTTAAAAGACAGCCTGAACGAATGTGTGCCCAGCTTCCTCAACTCCCAACTAAACGCCCTTTGATCGCTGGTGATCGAGCACTGAGTTCGTCTAGACAGCGCTTCCCGTGAGTGATACTCTAGGGTCTTCTGCAGGTTAAAGCTGACCCAGCAAGAGTCTGGGATGTCAAGAGCGGCAAAACTGTCCAGACAATCAGAGCTGGGCACTGTTGGGTGACCGCGGTAATATACTTGCCCGATGCAACAAAAATTGCAACCAGTGGAGACAAAGATGATGCAGTCAAAATCTGGGATGTAACGACAGGCGAACTGTGCGAGACACTCAAACACGATGGAATGGTTTGGAGCTTGGCATGGACGTCGGACGGAAAGAAACTTATCTCCGGTTCATGTGGCTCAATTAGGATACTACTTGGGAGGAGATCGCCGTCCTGGAGGGTCACACTAGCTTTGTCTGCACCATCTCAGAATGAACGCCTCCTTGCAAGTGCATCAAGCAATAAAACAGTGCGTCGATGGAATATCAATACCAACCTCCCGGTCGGACGCATGAACATGATTTGGAATGCGCAGCCTTTTCCTCTGATGGAAAGGTGTTAGTCACTTGCAAAAACAGAAGCGCGTACACATGGGACATTATGCTATCCTCAAAGAAGCTGGCCTTGAGGATCTTTATCTAATGTATATTATATCGTTCTCCGGTAAAAACCACACTAATCTCCCACTCACTCTAGAGCAATGTTACGCGACATCCACCTATTCAGGCCCGTCGAATACTGCCAGCCTTTTTCGATGACATGCAAAATAGTGCACAAGTCAGTTGTTTGCTTTTTTTGATCAATTCTCGTTCTGACCTATGTACTTCTCAGTCCTCCGCAGCACGCGGTACCCATCATCGTTCTCCCGTAAACAACCCTCTCACATCCCTTCTTGAACGCTTTTCGTCCCTCTTCCACTACTCTCACCGCAATACCGATGACGCAACCTCTCTTCAGCAATGTCCAAGGTGGTCCACCTTCTCTCGTGGTCTTCATACCGTTGAACTTCCTGCAGTACGAGGCAGAGAGGTATGTAATTTCTTCATACGCGTTTCCCATCGCCATGGTTTAACGGTTTCTGTCCAGGTTATATTTACTGCTCCACCGCCGCCACAAAAACACAGCAGCAAACCCAATCGCACGGCCAGGGGTCGCCCGCGACACCGCCTGCTCCAGGTACTAAACCTACTATACCACGTCCAAGACGTGTGCATTCACTACCCGTCCGTTTGTTGGCTCATCTGGTACTTTTTTCTCTGCTGCGCGTCTCCTCAACACGCCGATGCCAATGCACAATCAACACAGCAGCAGCAAGGCCAAGTCTAGGCCCAGGCGTCATCATTGCAGACCCAGTCTGCCGTTCGCTTCGTGCTGTTTCTTTGTTGCACATCTCCCCCATATACCGATGGTCATTAAGGTACACAACTATTTCATATCATTTGGCAACTACGTACAGCAATCTTGTTTCCTCGCCACGAGACTTGTACAATGTATCAAACTCAATGTCAACCGTTGCGAAAGGAACATGCTAAGATCAATTAAGAGGATGAAAGCCTGGGAGCTGGCGCGGATGATGGTACTGGGTAATAGGGGCCGCATAGCAACGGAGGGGATCCGGCAGCTCGGTGTTCTGCCCCTATGTCAGCTCCAAGATTCTAGCTCTCTCTACGCATCCCACCTGCACCTGCGGCTGAACTGGGTTACCCTCTACCAGGGGAATCACCCGCCGATGCGGACATGAGTGCGTGCGCATGAAATCGTGTACATAAACCGCGACATCACAACGACGCGTGAACAGCACTTGAGGAAGGATGGAGATTGTGCAACCGAAAAGGGCAGGATGACAGAGGACGAGCTTACCAGGGCGGGGGCTTCAACCGCAAGACGAAGGCAAGAAAGATCCAAGACAGGCAGCATTTCAAGTGCAAAACCTGACGGGCACGTGGCAGAAGCTTGGCAGGACAAGGAATCTGAGATATGATGAAAAGGGGGCCATAGTATGCAAGGCCGCAGAAGATGAAAGAAGAATGACAAAGAGACAATCGAGGACAACACGAGCACGCGGATGCAACAGCGAAGTGATGGGATGGAAATGGAGGGGCGCAAGTCAATAGTGCACGGGGAATTAACATTTCAACGTTTAACGAAAAACGGCTTTTTCGAAGAAAATCGATGAGATAAATATTAGAGACTTCACCCAGTCAATATCACGCGACCACGATGGCCCGAGTGCTTCGGGCCATCTCGGAAGAAAGAAATATTTTCACGCGCACATGAAAATACAGGTGCCTCAGGCTAGACGTTTGTTTCTGACAGAAACCCTCGCTACTTTGTAGAGTGGGGGATGAATGTTGGCACGCACTGGACTCCGTGAGATTGTCACATGGTTATGTGCCCCAGGTAAGCGAGCCTCGAAGCATGACGTTGAACCTAAATGGTAAGTGTAGGCCCAGACACAGGACACTGGCCCGCCATCTTGAGAATATTAATCAGATAACGACGAACATCAGCGTACCCTGGGCCACCGCATTTCTGTTCGGTGTGATAATGTTCAGGAGAGATTCAAACGCAGCAAAGTTTGGAGGCGATACTTCCTCACGGTCAGCTGACTCCATTGCATAAATTGTATACATATAATTTGGAAGCCAGAGCGATCAGCATTCGAGTTGCGTTTTCTGTTGCCTGTGTAGCTCCGCAAATGTTACTAATGAACCTATCTCCTTCGCCTGATGACAAGGACATTGCGAGCTTGTGCAAGGTTAATTGAAATTCGATTCGCAGGAGATACCCCGATTCTGACAGGCTATGTATAGGTCTGTGCCCACGTATCTGCGAAAGAATATGGAACACAAAGCGACGAGGTTGATATCCACAATGCAGGGCCATCGGAGCAATTGGCCGAATGTATCACAGTGACGATATTTAATACTGGGTTGGTTCACCCACTCTTTTAGCGACAGGCAGGGATTACGTCCGTACTACTTACACCTACCCATGTCGACCACAGTCACTCCAGAGGAAATTCAGGCTTTGGACCTAGACTTCCTGAACTCCCCAGCAATCAGATACATCAACAGTGGGCCCTTCTGTTTTCCGAGACTGATACGCTTACCTGATATCATGCAGTTGCCGCTTTAACGCTCTTTACCTGGGACCTGAGTGAGTGAGCCCTCTTTGTGACTTTATTCTGGATCGTTGACAGAGACACTAGTCCTGACTTTTCCTCACGAGGTAAGTTGTTCAACCGCACCTGAATTATCGCGGAAGCTCAGCAGTGACAGCTTAGACTATGGGTGCGTCCAGTTAGACGGACTTTTGACTATCCAGTGACGGGAACCACTTGTAGAATGCCAAATGGACGCTTGCAAAAGTTCTATTTTTCGTGGTAAGATAAGGTCTGCATATCGGTTGGGCGTTTTACCTCATGCTTTTCAGAATCGATACTTTGCACTTGGGACAGCTATCCTAATAACATCTTGTGAGTTGCGCACCGAATTTTGCTGTAATACCCGTATATCGACACTCGGCGCTCATTGCTGAGATGTAATCCAGTGACGTTCGATCTTAAACCCACATGGGCTATGTGCGTTATCTCACCGATCACTGTTACTGATTCTAATTCGGAACAGATGTGAGCTCAGACACTTTCATCCCTTAAGCCCTCTCATGGAAATATTAGGTTCTGCAAATACTTTCTTTGCTGTCATTGGTATGTAGCATACTCGGTCAAATTCGATCGGCTTTAGTCTGACAATTCCCAGCTTTGTTACTAGTGGCCAACATCGAAAGTAAGCTCTCTGAGCCATCTGACGTACCACGTACTCATCAAAGTCTCAGTGATTCTCCAACTTCGATTATACGCACTGTACGCCTATGGTGCGTGGCGATGCAAATCTTTCTGGTTGATACCTGGATGATATTCAGATAAGAGGATTGTCCTCCCTGTGGCGGTATTGTTCGTCGCGGTCTTAAGCGGCATGATGGTGATGGCAGTGTTCATACACCAGTATGAGAACAGTGAGCTTCGTTCATATCACCAAGTATGTACACTGACCAAAGTTTAGACTACAAAGCTCAGATCTCTGGTGCATGTGCCATAGTTGGGTCTGTGGATTGGCTGTATCTTTTCTGGTACTTACTCCATGGACTGTCTTTGCGACCTACTCCTCATTCTCCAATAGGGTACCAATGATGGGCTTAGACCTTGTTCTTGTCCTGTTAGCAGGCTACAAATCTCTTCAGCATTATTTCCAGGTACCGGACAAGACTTGGTCTGGTGCACGTCTTATGCATGTCTTCGCGCGAGACTCGATGCTTTATTTCCTCTGGTGAGAGCATATGCAACGCAGTGGATCGATTCTGATCCAAATACTGCTTTGCTATTTCCAGTAACTTTTCGATATACCTACTCAGCACCTTGCTGGGAAAATCTGGCCCTGCTGAGTATTACCAGCTGAGCATGATCATGGTCACAATTGTCCCACCTATATCAGCGAACCGTCTCCTCATCAACATATATGACTTGGCACATACCGAGCAAGATAGAGATACGACGAAGTCTGTCCTTCGCATCCATCCTTCACCGATGTATTGGCATGATGGTCAAGTGCACCACAAGGACATAGAGCTCACATCCACAAGTATGGAGGGTACTACGATAGATGAACGGGAGTGAGCCTCCCATGTATAGGGCTATGTTCTATATAGGGTCTCCGATCTCAAAGAGAAATAAATCCGAAAAAATATGGAGGGTTCACTTGAGGTGCAGTCGTTCAATGACATCAGTACTGCCAAGCTTACATAGCTGATTCTATGATCGAAATGCTTGTCTTGAGTAGATCTTCGAGTGTGCTTGGCTGAGTCACGATGTCAAATCAATCAGACGTTCTACTTACGAACACTGAAGAATCCGGTCAATGTGCAGAAGCGCTAGTTTTTCTCCACTGATCTTGAACTTTGAACATAGTTTCAACTTGGTGGCACAACTTTTTTGACGGCCTAGCTCATGAATTGTGCAGTACTAGGGCCCAAATCAAAGCTGCGAGGACCTCCATGCGCAATCAAAGTTGCTGTGTTCACAGTCTTGCATACTTTCTAATTACATAAATGCATTGCATCCTCTAGTTACTAGTACTATTCTGGCTGTTCCCTTATCCCCTTGTTTGACGCTTGTCAGCATCATCTATTGTGGGGCTTGTTTTGGTGCCTTAGCGCCCATTCATATTCAAGATGAGTTGCTTCCGATTCTATTCACATGTCCACCGGTGTTAGTAGGCAACTTTGGACCGGGAATTATCGAAGTTTGTAGATATGGGTTCATGCCATGCGTCAGTTCTGCCTGAGTAAAACAAGCTAATTAGCGATTTCTAGTACGGACTGTTCCCCATCGTCCAAAGATTTCAATGATCAATCATATTGATTTACATAAATCATGTAAGATTGATATTTAGAAGTGATAGGGCAAAGTTACCGATGATGTAACTAAGAATATTTCGAGCCGCATTTGCTGCCTGTGCAGCCCGAGAGAGGTAAATGTTGCAGCGCCAATGACTAGTCACCCTCCGAGTTCGCCTAGCGCGGGTTCGTGCAAGCTTACCATTGCAAGTGAGTTGAGAGACATTCATTCTGACAATCGATTGCCTGGATAATATATATACTAGGCCGTTGACCACTTATCTGTGACGAATGAATGATCATATGGCGCGGATCTAGCATGGAGAGGTCAATCTCGAACTTCGGCTGCATCGCCACTTTCAAGTTCATTTAGAAAACTGCTATTTAATAACTGCTTTTAGCCCCCCGAGTCCCGTCCGCTCCTTCCTCCAGCGATAGGTTGACTATACCCTTCCGTATCACACCCGCCCATGTCGACCATTATCACTCCAGAGGAAATTCAAGCTTTGGACCTATACCTCCTGACAGCCCCGAAAATCAAATCCATCAGCAGTAAGTCCGTCTGAATCCTTGAAACTAATATGTTCACCTAAGTATCATTCAAATGATATGCAGTTGCTGCTTTGACGCTCTTTACGTGGGACCTTAGTGAGCGAGCCTCTTTGTGTTGTTATTCGGGATCATTGACAGGATCATTAGTCCTGACTTTTCCTCACGAGGTAATTTTATTCATCGATTTTTAAACTGTCGTAGAAGTTCAATGGTGACAGGTTAGATTATGGGTGTGTTTGCTCAAGTATAGTATGTTGGCCAGCAAGATGACCAAGACTTCTCGCAGAACACCAGATGGACATTTGCAAAAGTTCTGTTTTTCGTGGTGAGAATGAGTCTATACGTCGTGCGCTTTTACCTGATGCCCCCCAGAACCGATACTTTGCGTTTGGAACAGCTATCCTAATGACGTTCTGTGAGTTGTGCACCGAAGTTTGGTGTACCCGTGTATCGATGCTCATTACCGAGATGCAATGTAGTGACGTTCGACGTCACACCAACCGAGGCTATGTGCGTCGTCTCATCTTTTTTTGTTGGTAATGCTCATTCAGAACAGATGTAAGCTCAAAAACTCTCAGCCCCTATCTTGCCCTCATCGAAGATCAGGTTCTGTAAATGCGTTCTTTGCCGTCATCGGTATGTAGAATGCTCATCCACGGGCAACAGTCTACTCAACTCTGACACGCCTCAGCATTATTGCTGGTAGCGAATATTCAAAGTAAGGTTTCCGAGCCGTCTAAAATATGATGTTCCCATCGAAGCCCCAAGTAATTCTCCAACATCGAATATATGCACTGTACGGATATGGTACGTGGTAATGCAAATATTTAATTCCGGTTTGTACTTGAATGATATTCAGACAAAATAATCGTCGTCCCTGTGTCGATGCTGTTCTTCACGATCTTCAGCTTTATGATGATGATGGCAGTGGTTGTATACTTGTATGAGAAGGGTCAGCTTCGTTAATATTCTTGAGTATGTACGCTGACCAAAGTTTAGACCATGAAGCCCAGATCTTTGGCGCATGCTGTTTACTTGGATCAGTGGATTGGCTGTATCTCTTTTGGTACTTACGTTCATGGAATATTGCCGTGACCCTCACCTCATTCTCTTCAGGGTACCCATGATGGGCTTAGACTTTGTTCTTGTCGTGTTGGCAGGCTACAAATCTCTTCAGCACTACCTCCGAGTACCAGACAAGACCTGGTCCGGTGCACGTCTTATGCGTACCTTTGCGCGAGACTCGGTCCTTTATTTTCTCTGGTGAGAGCACATACTACAAGCAATGCAGCGGGCCGGTTCTGATCGAAGCACTGCTTCGCTATTTCTAGCAACTTTTTAATATATCTCTTCAGCACACTGCTAGGCAAATTCGGTCCTTCTGTGTATTATCAACTTGGTGCGATCACGATTACAGTCGTCCCACCTATATCGGCGAACCATCTCCTCATCAACATGTATAACTCTGCACACGACAAGCAGCCCACTTGGAGGACGGCTTCACAAGTTAAGACTTCCCTGCAACTTGTGAGAGACACATCGAGGTCTGTCTTTCGTACATCCGATGATGTTATTTGACGGTGACATGGTGCTCAGAACACACCACGAGGATATAGAGCTTGCATTCCTGAGTACGAAGGGTTCCGAGTGGACGGATGCGACATTATTTGAATGATATCAGTCGGGTTTGGAGGCTTTGTGCTATGTGGTTTTACGAGTTCGTGCCTAAATACGAGACAATCTCGAAGCACAATACCAGTAGTACTTGCCCTACTAGATCCACCAGAGCGGAATGAATAGGTAGTGCGTATATATCGGGGTCAAAACCTCTGGACCACAATAAATCGGTCAATGACCGAGCTAAAACTAGTGAGGTGAAGACCTGTCGCGAACTTCAACAAACATTAGAACAGGACGGACATGAAACTCACTGCACAACAAAAAAATAACACTGATAATATGGCAAATATTATAGAGAATTTTAACCATCCAGATACGCGTAGGATACAGAGAAATAAAATCACTATCGGGACCGTGATGAGAATGAACGTAACCATGACAAGTTTGGGGGAAGGTTCGCTTTTGTGCAGGTACGTGTTCGCAGACGCTGTGTGAAGAGCAGTTGAGAGTCGGGAGACAAAT